TGTCTACAAGTGTAACACAGTATCATTAATACTGTTAAATACTGGTGCTTGGCTATGGGATGGGTCTTATAGAAGAATAAGAGGAAAACGTTTGGCACTGAAGGGAATAGGAACTCCACCAGAACACCAACTGAGTTGTCTAACCTAGACCCTTGGTTCCCTCATAGTCTAAATCACGGACCAAAAAACATACACAGACTGGGCCGACACTTCCCCATTCATATGTAGCAGATGTGCAGTTTGACCTTCATGTGGGCCCTGAACAACTGGAACTGGGGCTATTCCAAATGCTGTTGCCTATATGTGGGATATGTTCTACTAGCTGGGCTACCTTATCTGGCCTTAGTGGAAGAAGAAGCACCTAGTCTCACAGAGACTTGAAGTGCCAGGGTTGCGGAGGAAAATGCTCAGAAGCAAAAGGGAGGGAGGATAGAGGAAGGAATGTAGAAGGGGTTACTGGGAGGGGGCAGTGAGTGGAATATAAAGTGAATAAATTTTTAAAAAGTGAAATGTAAAAAATCAGTCATTTTTTCTTTAAATCCTCAGAATATACACCTACTCATTAGTAATTTTTTTTTTTGTTAAATCATGTCATGAACCTTAGGGCATAGATGAGTACAAGAAATGAATCACTACCTTAAAATCTAGCCCAGCTTTGTCAAGAGAGATACATCAGCCAGTCCTACTTGGGATGCCTTTGTTCTCAAAAAATCTCAAAAAATCCCTAGCTCAATTATTGTTTGTCTTCATTCTGGTATGTGCCAGAACTCTGAGCAGACCCTGAGCATCAGCTCGGCACCCAATCCCACAAACCCCAGAGGAGGCTGGACTCCCAAGAGCTCTAACACACCCAGGAACATAGGATCACAGGATCTCAGAAGATTGGTCATATCAGGTTTTCAGGACCCCAGAGGCAGTGTTACTCCAAGAGCACTTACACCCAGGATCTCAGGATCACAGGATCACATAGACAGCTGGACTCTGAGGAGTTCTGACACAAGCAAGATAACAGGAAATACAGGCTTCACTCACAATGAGTACAGGTAGCACTAGAGATAACCAGATGGCAGCAGGCAAGCCCAAGAACATCAGCAACAGAAATCAGTGTTACTTGGCATCATCAGAACCTAGTGCTCCCATCATAGTAAGTCCTGAATTCCCTATCACACTGGAAAAGCAAGAATCAGATGTAAAATCACTTCTCATGATGATGGTAGAGGACTTTAAGAAGGACATAATAACTCGCTCAAAGAAATACAGGAGAACACAGGTAAACAGGTGGAAGCCCTTAAAAAGGAAATACAAAAGTCCCTTAAATAATTACAAGAAAACACAAACAAACAGGTGAAGGAATTGAACAAAATCACCCAGGACATAAAAATTGAAGTAGAAACAATAAAGAAATAACAGAAAGACTACCGTGGAGATAGAAAACCAAGCAAAGAGATCAGGAGTCATAAATAGAAGCCTGACCAACAGAATAAAATAGATAGAAGAGAGAATCTCAAGTGGAGAACAGGCCATAGAAAACATTAACACAACAAAGAAAATGCAAAGAGCAAAAAGCTCCTAATCCGAAACATCCAGGAATCCAGACTACAATGAGAAGACCAAACCTAATGGTAATAGGTATAGAAGAGAGTGACTATTCCTAACATAAAGGGCCAGTAAATATGAACAAAATTGTAGAAGAAAACTTACCTAACCTAAAGAAAGTGATGCCTATGAACATATAAGAAGCCTACAGAACTCCAAATAGACAATATCAGAAAGGAAATTCCCTCTGTCACATAATAATCAAAACACCGAATGCACAAAACAATGAAAATTAAAGACAGTAGTGGAAAAAGGTCAAGTAACATAGAAAGGCAGCCCTATCAGAATTACACCAGACTACAAAAGCCAGAAGATTCTGGACAGATGTATTATAGAACCTAAGAGAACACAAATGCCAGCACAGGCTACTATACCCAGCAAAACTCTCAATTACCATAGATGGAGAAACCAAGATATTCCATAACACAATCAAATTTATGCAATATCTTTCCACAAATCCAGCCCTACAGAGGATTATAGAGAGAAATGACTAACATGAGGAGGGAAATTATATCCCTGAAAAAGCAAGAAAGTAATCTTCTTCCAAAAAAACAGAAAAGATAGCCTAACAAACACAATTCCACTTATAATAACAAAAATAACAGGAAGCAACAGTCACTTTTCCTTAATATATCTTAAAATCAATGGTCTCAATTTCCCAATAAAAATACATAGACTAATGGACTGGATACATAAACAGGACCCAACATTTTGCTGCAGACAGGAAACACACCTCAGTGACAAAGACAGACACTACCTCAGAATAAAAGGCTGGAAAACAGGCCTCCACAGATACAAAACAATTGAAATAATGCCATGCATCCTATCAGACATCATGGACTAAGGCTGGTCTTCAATAAAAATAAAATCAATGGAAAATACACATACATGTAGAAAATGAACAATTCTCTACTCAATGATAATTTGGTCAAGGAAGAAACAAAGAAAGAAATTAAAGATTTCTTAGAATTTAATGAAAACGAAGTCACATCATACCAAAACTTGTGGGACACAATGAAAGCAGTACTAACAGGAAAATTCATAGTTCTAAATGCTATTTTAAAAAATGGGAGAAAGGATACACAAGCAGCTTGATAATACACCTGAAAGCTATAGAACAAAAAGAAGCAAATACTCACAAGAGGAGTAGACAGCAGGAAATAATCGAACTCAGGGCTGAAACCAAACAAGTAGAAATAAAAAGAACTATACAAAGGATTAACAAAACCAGAAGCTGGTTCTTTGAGAAACTTAAAAAGCCCTTAGCCAGACTAACCAAAAGGCACAAAGACAGTATCCAAATTAATAAAATCAGAAATGAAAAGGGAGATATAGTAACAGAAACCAAGGAAAGTAAAAAAAATTCATTAGATCCTACTACAAAAGCCTATATTCAACAAAATGGAAATTTTAGATGAAATGGACAATAAGCAGTTCCATTGACTCTATCATGATTGACTTCCAAGGGCACAGAACATAACAGAATAGGTAATCAACTTGGGCATGAGAAAGTTTCCTAGTAGCAGGAGATACAACCTGTGAGAAAGTTTTCTTATATTAGTAACAGAACAATATAGCAAGCTAGTCAGCTAAAAGTTACATATATCTTGACTTTCTACATAGGCTTTAACATTTCATCTAGGCCTTAATATTTTTGCTAGACCTTAAGAAGTTATAGTAGTGGTATGAGAAAACTAAGTAACATCAATGTAAATGTAACTTATTCTCCTGTTGTAATAACTTTCTGGGAGGCTTACTAACTTGTTGGCTACCCTAAATGTAGTACTGGAAGCATATACTCTCTGACGTTCTAGGCCTAGAATGTTTTCAGCCTCTGAGACTTGCTGCTGAATAAGCTCACCTTTTCTAGTTCTTTCTGAATTCAAGCTCACTGTTTCAACTTAGCTGTTCTGGGCTGAAACTCCTCTCCCAGATGATTTGTTCAATCTGGCTTTTCTTTCATCATTGCAATTGCTCTGATTGGCATCAAACTAACTCTAGCAATCTTTCCTAATCTTCTGACATCTCAGTCTCTCCTCAATCAGTCTTTATCTGTGTCTAGCTTGTTCTCTTCATAAAACTATCTCAGTAAAACTGCCTACTTCTCCCTCTTTGTGCTGCTCTATTCTCCCTCTCAATTCTACTGCTCTGTATAAACTCTATTGTATTCCTGTACTGTAGTCTTTTCTTCCTGTACTATCTGTCTCTTAAGTACTGGTCTTTCCTCTCTTTTTTTGTGACAATTGAGCATATCCTATTCTGTCAAATCCTTGTCTTATTCATCACTTTTTCAGCCATTCAATAAGACATCACTTTCAAACATGAGTGCTTCCCTCTACAAACTAAGTTACCTTCCTTGTGTGGGAATAAAGGTTCATACTAAAGATGTGTCTGTAACCAGATAGAGGGAGTAAAGGTGTGTACTAAGGGTGGAGCCATACCCTAACTAGAAACAAGTTAAAATATCCTCTAACAGGATCTGATGACAAAGATGAATAAAACAAGTGACAGCTCAATCTTGAAAGAATGTGGAGTAAAAGGAAAACTCATACATTCCTAGTGGAAATGAAAATTCAGCCAGCTACTATGGATAACAGTGTGGTAGATCCTCAGAAAAAAATCTATATCGATATCCATCTACACCACTCTTGGGCACATACCCAAAGGATACTTCATTCTACCACACAGAGCCTTGTTCAGCCATGTTCACTGCTGGTCTGTTTATAATATCCAGAAATTGGAAACAACCTAGATGTCCCTCAACAGATGAATGGATAAACAACACACACACACACACACACACAAATAACAACATGAAATTGACAAGCAAAGAGTAGAAAAAAATTCTCCCTAGTGAGGAATCCTCGACTCAGAAAGATGAATATGGAATATATTCCTTCATATGTGGATATTAGCTGTAAAGTCAATGAAAAGCAAATTACATTCTGTCAGGGTTCAGGAATCTCCACACCAACCATACAAACACAGGTCTCAGTTAAGCAAAAATAGTTGATTAAATTTAATGACCTTAATAGTGGTCAGACTATGGACATAGTTCAGAAATGAGACTGAAACTATGACATCAAACAATTTGCAGGGCAGACATCATATAGAAAAAAACAGGTCCAAAAGTTTGAAAGGCAAGAATGGTAGCAATATTACATTTGTCTTACTAGACACAGTATTATAGGATAACCTTTAAGCTGATTGGTTCTGAGTAAGGTAAGGGGGGTGGTGGATAAGTGGTGAACAGGAGAATTTCAGGCCATTGAAAATAACAGAGCATGATTGATACGATTATAACCTTTTTGGCTTACCAATAACATTCTTCAGTGTCACCTGTGGACAATTACTTATAAGAAGTGTAGTCTGAGAACCTGAACTTTATTTCACTTATGAGTAAAATGGAGACTGAATACAAAATTGCTACAGTTATGTTAGAAGATGCAGGCCTCAACACAATCCACAGAAACAAAGAGGGGGGTATAGACTATGGGACTAGTGGGCAGAAGATCAGGTAAGTCTGTCACAATAGCTGCAAAATTTTTTCACAAGGGGAACTAAAACTAGAAAGAAAGGGCGTTTGATGCCAGGGTTGGCAAATATTGAGTCAACAAACTTTTCTATGTAGTAGTCTTACATTAATTATAATTTACTAAATGCTCACTCAGCCTAAGCTGGGCATGTGGAACTGGGTATTGTTCAGAAGGTACAATTCTTAATATCATTTTGTAAATTCAAAACCTGGTAGCTAACCGTTCAGCTGGGCAGAAATGACAACAGCCTTCACATGATCTTATTTGTTGTGTGTCAAGCACAACATTCACTAAATAATATTCATGAACTCTTTATGACTCTGTCCCATGGGCTCTCTTTGCACTATGCATGAACCTTATCCTTCTTGGTCAATTTCCAGCATGTTAGCTTCAGGCCCATGTCTGCTTCTACACTCAATTCCTTTGTCCTCCTTTGTAAAGCACAGTCCATCCTTTCCCCATACTCAGTACACTTCAGGACCTCTGTGTACTTCAAAGAGCTCCTCTCTGAGCTGTTTATGGTCAAATTACTTGTCTCAGGGCTGGAGTCAGGTACCTACTTTGCAATGATCAACTTTCTTTGCACATCTCTGTTGCATTCCACACAGGAACATCCCTGTCCTATACATCTTCTGTTCTATCATCTTGTCGATCTTTCTGTCAGAGAGTACTGAGTCTCCTCTCATGAGAGGGCCATTCTGCTGCACTAAGGCAAAAGTACCAATATTAATGAATAGAAAGTTAAGTTATAAGTCAATTAAAAAGAGGACAAAGTATGTATAAATAAAAATATATATTAACAGAATTATATGCAAAAATAGATGGGATGTGGAACTTGGAGCAGGGCAGAAGATTTTGTCACCTGGGTAACCCAAGCTATGGGTCCTTAACGGATGCAAACTCAAGATCCTCCAGCCTCAGCTTCTTACATATTTGGATTACTAGAATACATCATCATGCCTGGCAGAAGTACAGTTCTTGATGCTACATACAAGGCAAGTCAAGAACACCAAGAGCAATGGGAACAGCCCATGGAAGCAGTAGAATAATATCAGAAATATTTGCCTCCCACCAGCAATAACCAGCCTTAAAATAAGAACTGCAAGATTAAGGATATTTTAAAATGTATGGTCCTTGGAATCAATAGTATTCATTGCATAATATAGAAATATTTTTTATTATGGGCAAAAATGAGAATTATCACCTAACTTTCCACATTATAACAGGTCAATATTCTGATTTTGAATATAAAAATCAACTAAAAGTGAGCATACCTCAAAAAGAAAGGTAAACTGTGAGGGATAACTTGCAAATTTCATGTGATGTATATTTTGTTTGCCCTGCTTATCTCATCTTTGAACTGTAGCTGGTTCAGTACAGTGAATGTACAATAAAACAAAAGGATCCATCTCTACCTGCCAGAGACCTGAAAACAGAAACAGTGAGCATGAGCTAAGTGTCGGTGGCGTGGACTCGCCGGCAAGATCACACAGACACCAAAGTTCTTCAGCAGATCTTTATTACGATGATATAGAGAAAAGACCCGCTGGAAAAAGGCTGGCTGGTGGAAACCGGCTGGGAGAAAAGGCCCCGAGCCCCGGGAAGGTCCTGGTTAAATACCTCCTGGAGTGATGTGTACATATCTGGTTGGTTAATTGCCCATAAAATCCTATATGCCCCGGGAAGGGCTTGTGACTTCATGCGCTTTTCCCTCACACAAAGACAGTAAATTACAGAACTTGTGAGAGCATCGGATTGCCAGATATGTCTCTGCTTTCCACGGCTCTCTACATCTCCCCCTTTTTGTTTTAAATGAGAATCACAGGCACTGGCCATTTCCCGTGTCTTAGGCTAGTTGACGTTTTTTCATAGCCAGCACCAAAGAATGGTGAGCTCTCTGTCTTAGGCTATGAGGGTTGCGCACCCACACCTGGCATTCATTGAATGTTCGCCCCAGGTTGTGGCCACTGGTAATGTCCGTCATGGGGTAAACTCACACCACATGGTGTATCTCTGGCATATGGCATCAACCTATTCCCGTCGTTGGGATCAATGGCAGCTGGCCTGGAGACAAAAGATAGAGCTGTCCTTGGTCTGTCTGGCACGGTACCAATAAAACTCAAGCCCGATCAAGCAGATTCCATTATGGGGGAATAAGCGATCAAGGACTAATAGTTTGATACAGTCTCTCCCACCTTACCAGGTGCAATGGAAGCAAGTCCTCTGGGTCCAAAGGCTAGGGGAAACCGAGAGAGATGCAAACACCCATCCCTGTGCAATGGAGTCACCTCCTAGGGGTGCAAGGGCTGTTTGTCTCAAAATTCAGGTACCAGAGCTACACAGACAAGGACCAGTCAGACTAAAACTCCTCACTGACCCAGTGCAATGGGCTGAGCCCTTGGGGTGCAGTAGCTGAGGATCTGTTTGCTGGCTGTTTCTTTAGCATAGACAACCAGATTTTGGGAGATGAACCTTGTTCTAAGGCTGTAAGTGCTTGGGTAATCACGACTTTGTCACGTTTCTGTTGAGCTCTGAGCTTGCAAACCAACCAGAGTATGAACACTAATCCACAACACAGGGTTGTACCAAACATGCCTACTCCCACCCACTCCTCAAAGAAAGAGAAAGCTGAAGAAATCCAGGTGGAGAGTCCTTCAGTCAGCGAAACGTCCACACGCGTTGAGTTGATGGCTGCCACTGCTGCTCGCAACTTTTCGAGAAGTTCATCAAATCCTTCTGACCATTCTCCTGCTAGGTAATGAGACAATTGTCTGGACAAATTAGCTGTTCGAGTAAAGTTTTCATATTGAACACTAGTAATACAGATTGCTCCCAGACTTCTTTCACATCCCAATTGTGCCAATTGAAAGAGGATATCTATCCTTTCTTCTACCAAGTCTAGGCGCTGATTAACAATCATCAATCTGCCTTTCAATTCAGCATTAGCAGAAGTATGGAAGTTGGCTGCCTCTGTCACTGTAGCGGACAGCTGATTTAAGGCTGCTGCTGTTTGGACTTTGGTTGTCATAGCAATCCCAGCAGCTGTAGCTGCAATGGCAGTGACTGATATCGCTGTTATTATGGCTGCAGTTATGCCAAAGTCTCTTTTTTGTCTGAATAATGACAGAGTACAGGGTGTTTCGACAGGAACAGGAACCCATCGTGGCACTCTAGCAACCATGGCACGCTTAGCTTGTCCAACAGCCCAACACTGAGACATCATGCATGAATCATTAGTGCATTTTTCAAATGAGGAATTGGAAAGAATAAACAAGAAGGGTGGAAAAACACACACTGGTGTAGGTGAAAATACTGTTTGATTTACAATAATCTTGTTAACTCCAGTAATTAACTGAATAGGATTTGTCAACTGAGGCATCGGATCTGCACTCTGTTTCACCATAGTTCCATTAATAACTCCTGTAAAGGATGTTCTTCCTGTCGCTCCGCCCTGGAGAAAGGCTAGCGGGTTGAGGTCGGTACAACTGCCATTAACTCCACAGAGTAGTCATTTGTGAAAAGGATTCATACTAACGCTCTGTAGAAAAGGACCCTTTCTCATTACCGCGTCAGCTCCAGGATCTCCCAACATATTGGGTGAAAAGGAAAAGGTTTCATTGGTGTCTGCCCATCGTGTTACTCTGGATTGACAATCAGACCAAGGCAGAACAGCTCCCTCATCTTCTAGACTACAAAAAGGAGAGACCTTAGGTTGACGAGGATGTTCTCCATCAATAAGTTTGAGTGATAAAAATGTTCTATCTATCCAAATGGCTGGTTGCAAAAAGAACTGTGAGAACTCTTTGACATAACTATTGTCCTTTTCATTATCATTCCTTTTAGTTGTTAGTTTAACCCAGCTTCTCTTTTCATAAAACCACCCCAAGGTTCTCTTCGAGAGAGTTATACAGTTTCCTGTCTCAGTAATCTGAAAACAGAGAGAACCCCATTCAGGCAAGGAACGATTTTCTTCCAGGGGGGCCTGCGTTTTATCATAGGGAAGATAAGGTAGCCCCATGGTTCTATTAGTTGTAAGAAATCTTGGAAACACCATGGCATCATGTCTGACAGGTATAGGTTTAGAAAAAGCAGATAATATAGCCCATCGTTGTTCTCCCCATATACTAGGAACCCAATTCTGGAGAATCCAAATTAGGACTGGAAGCATCTGTAGATGAATTCTTCGGGGTGTCATCTTCAGTTGTCACGAACCTTCGCATCAGTCGCTCTGGTAGCCAGAATGGATTGTCTTCCTCCTGTGGAAAAACACAGACCGCTCCCCTGGATCCTATTAAAATAGGATCCGGGCCTTTCATTGTCTGGTCAAGACGTCTTTCCACTTGACCATCTCCTTTGGCCTATCAGGCTCTAAGCAATGATGGTCAGTAGCCGAATGGCCCTGACTATCTAAATTTAAAAAATTGAAAGCAAAGAGTACTATAGAAATGGTGACTCATGGCACTGAGGGTAGAGCCTCCTCGACTCCCCCTTTTTGTTTTAAAAGATAATATTTAAGAGTACAATGATCTCGTTCTATAATGTCTTGTCCTTGAGGATTGTATGGTAGACCTGTCAGGTGAGTCACCTCTATTTGGCAACAAAATTGTCCAAACTTTTGAGATGTATAAGTTGAGAATTTTAGGCTTTCCCCAGGCACTCCAGGCTTCAAGGCAATGTTGTATAACATGTGTTGTCTTTTCTCCCTATAAAGGGGAGGCAAATATAATTCTGGAACAAGTGTCAATAGAATCATGTAAATATTGAAGTCTCCCAAAAGATGGGACATGAGTAACATCCATTTGTCATGATTAATCATGTGTAAGTCCTCAAGGCTTAACATCATTATGAAAATTGAGGACACTGAGAAGAAGTTTTTGTTATTTAACTTGTACACTTTTTAGAAATATCAAATTATAGTCTCAAGCTATTATTATTTTCATGATATAAAAAATAAGATTGTATGGCCAATTGTTTTTATATGGTCTATAATTTGACTGGTATACAAATCTGTTCTGGCATTGTCCTGGGCTCTAGGCAATCTAATGAACCCTTAAATGTCTTATAAAGAAACAGTACATGTTTCTTAAATTAAGCTGTATTTTTATAATTAACTGTAAAATTTGAGAATTAGTAATATCTAAAAGGGCAACAATTTTAAGCAGTTTAAACCATGAGCCATATACTGGCTATGAGTGTACCAACTGAAAGCTTGAATTTTCAGCATTTCAAACAGTGTCTACAGCACATAATTTAATTATTTGTGTTGAAGCAGGGGAACATTCAAGAAAATGAACATGTGATATAATTACATATACTGTCTAATAAATTGATGAGGCATCTGTAAATATAGTAAATGTTTTTTCTATGGGCTGCATGTAAATTTATAGGAAAAACAAAAGCATGTATAGAGAACAACTGTTAACAACTTGTCTTATGGATAATGATTATCAATTTTGCCTAAAAACTTTGCCAAGTAATAGGTCAAATATCATTATTTTCTAATAACCAACTTAATTTTTATTTGGAATAAAGAATTAGCATTTCATCTAAAATATTTTTAGGATTCTATCTTACAATCTTGTATTAACACTGTAATAGTTTCAAAATAAGATGTTCAAACTTTACTTGTAGATAGATGAATCCACATTAATGGTTTCTTTGGCCAAGGTCTGTTTTGAGCACATGAGTAGCAATAATGTAAACAGCCAACAATGTATCATGGTCTAGATAATTTATCCTTTAATGACTAACAGCTTATTCTATACTTTTACAAAGCTATCTATCCCTCATCAGTTAACTGTCGAGGGGAATTAGGATTTGTATCGCCCTTGAAAACATCAAACAGAGGTTCAAATCCTCTTATGGTAAGTTTAAGATGAGGTTTTAGCCAATTAATATCTGTTAACTTGATTTTAAGAATCATTAAAAGTAAACCAATTTTTGTATGTACACCTGTAAGCCAGAAGAGGGCACTAGATCCCACTACGAATGATTGTGAGCCACCATGGGTTGCTGGGAATTGAACTCAAATATTTGTAGTTGTGAGCCTAGCCTTTAACTGCTGAGCCATCTCTCTAGCTCCCATTATCCATTCTTATTGGAATTTTTTGTGTGACAATCTGTTTAAGATGTAACTGAATTTTCAAATATTATAAAGATATTGTCTTTGAATTTTTCTGGAGCAACAAGTACTTCAAAATTTTAAAACTCATTGTATTAGAGCAAGGGCGTACAGAAAAACTCTTTTTAGAGATATCAGTTAACAAAATGAATAAAAATATACTGAGAGATTTAAATGTTTAATTTCTCTATTAAAGCAATAACAAATTTTTATATAAGACTATTAATCATTCTTTGAAGCAGCCTTTTAATGACATTGTTTCATGGGCTCTCAAGAATCACTAATAAATTTATTGGATTTAAACTCATCACCTTTACCAGGATGTAAAGGAACAATAAAAACAATCTTTTAAATCTATAATAATTCTATGTATTTACTAGAATGGTAACTGACGTAGGCAAGACAGGTTGTAATGTCTCATTAATTTCATGAATCTTAAATTTGAACTTTGTTTTTGGTTTAACTGAATAAGCAACTCTTTTTAGTTGAATGAGGGATCAGACAAACGGCAGGTTAAAGGCAGTTTTGTCTTTTAATAATTGTTATATCAGCCCCAGTATCTATTAATTCTTATTGGGGAGAGTAGCTTTTATTGTATTTTGCCAATCGCTTGGGGTCATTGCCATAGTGGCTAGTCTCTCTAATTGCATAATTGTAAAATTTGCATCAACCCCATACTTCTGATTCAGCAAGTTCTTTAATTGTAGTATATTCTACTGGTGTGTGAATACGACCTCCTTCTGGAGCTTCAAACACTGGAAAAGCTTGAAACATCTTCCTCTGAAAGGAAGGTGGTTGTACCACGCTTGTCTGCATAAGGTGGCGGTGCGCTCAAAATTGCAGCAGGGAGTGCTGCCTGGGAATTCCAGGGGGCGGGGGAGCTGTAAGCGCGCGCTTTCTAATCCCCGCCTCTCTTTGTTCTCTACTCTGCGGCTGCAGCCGCCCACGTGAATGGAATCCTTCTGCCTCAAAGAGGACTACTTCTTCATCTCCTTCTGGCTCATAACGGACTATTTTTCCAACTCTCTCTGGTTCTCGCTTGGAGGAACCAGACCTCCCCGATTTATATTCATATAATTTCAGATCTTGCAATTCCTCTACTGGATATAGAGGCTTTCCCTTCGTAAAAGAACTCTCCCAGAGACCCTTTCGGCCTCTACTTCCCTCCGGCAGATCTAATGTCTGGGGAATTTCTGTAGACAGTCTACCCAAGCTTTTACTTAAGCTTGTGACCGCTCTCCCAGATCCAATTACTGGTAAGTTTCTATCCTGAATCTCTTTCAGTATCTCCTGACTCACCACAATAGCTGAACTATACTTTTGATCCTGTAATTTCCACAATGAGCGTGTGCCTGGCCTCAACTTTCCATTCTGCTGTTCCTTAATCAGATCTCCCTTTAGCCTGTCCCAGGAGGTGAGTGTCAGCGTTCCCGTGCAGGCAAACAGATCTCTCTCCCTAACAAAGTTTTTTCTGCAGAGCCGGTCACAATTGACTGCAAGGCCACATGCTGTTTGTTCCCTTATCTCCAGGAGAATCTGACTCTCAGGGAGAAGGGCTCTGTAGCTCACTCGCGGCTGATTAATTATGCTAAGCCTCTGCCTGCTCGTAAAACCTGCTGGATCAAAGCAGCTAGAGCCAAACTTTTTCCTGCCTTGTAAAAACCCCAGAAAAGAGCTGGAAGAAGGGAAAGGACCAAAGTTTCACTTGCGTACTGAACCTCGCAGCCCAGAACGGCTGCTGGAAGGGGGGGCAGGGCTGGCTCAAGCGGCGGCAAGATTTAAACAGGCAAACTGGTGAAAGCAATACAACAGCAGGAGAAAATGGGTGAAAGCTGGCACTAAGATAACAAAATTTTCACTGCTGCTTGTGATTTAGGGGAAATATGAAAAGATTCAGGATTAACCATACCTCGCTGATTCTGTCTTCCACTGCAGTCTGTCTTTTTGACGTTTTACTCCGGATGGGAGGGCCTCTTCTCCACAGGGTACAGTTGAATTCCCGGGTTTCTGCACCACTTATGTCGGTGGCGTGGACTCGCCGGCAAGATCACACAGACACCAAAGTTCTTCAGCAGATCTTTATTACGATGATATAGAGAAAAGACCCGCTGGAAAAAGGCCGGCTGGTGGAAACCGGCTGGGAGAAAAGGCCCCGAGCCCCGGGAAGGTCCTGGTTAAATACCTCCTGGAGTGATGTGTACATATCTGGTTGGTTAATTGCCCATAAAATCCTATATGCCCCGGGAAGGGCTTGTGACTTCACGCGCTTTTCCCTCACACAAAGACAGTAAATTACAGAACTTGTGAGAGCATCGGATTGCCAGATATGTCTCTGCTTTCCACGGCTCTCTACAGCTAAGGAGGAAATTGTCCATCTTTCCTTTGTCCCCACTCTTTCCTTGCTTCTTTCTTTCTCATTCATTCTTCTTCCTTCTCCCTTTCTTCCCTGGCTCTTCTCTTTCTCTTCTTCCTTCCTGCCTCCCTCTCTCTCCTTTATTCCTATTCTCCCCATTTCAATTCTTATTACTCTTCCTTCTTTTTATAAGGCTACTTATATTTTTTATTTTATTATTCAATTAAAATATTACTATGTCACTTTCCACCTCAAAATCTTGCTAGGAAATCCAACCTTCTGCCTGGTTAAACCTAGAAAGGGGGCAGCAGTCTGAGAACATGAAGATATACTCACTTCTCTGTCTATATTCACTTATGTGTCTAACTATCCATCTATCTGACTATCTTACAATTTCTCTGAGGAAGAATCAACAGTTTTGTTAAATGCCTTTTTATCACCATGACAAAATACAAGATATCTGTCTTTTAATAATCTTGGATGTTTTGAAAAACTACACAAAAGATGTATCTGTGCACATCTCCATTACATGCTTCTTTTCTTCATTTTTTTGAACTCCTCCTTATCCTGTAGTATTACTTCTGTTCAATGAAAAGAACTTTGTCTCATTGGTTTTACTTGAAAATGATGGGCTGACAGGCTGGTTCTGTTGGTAAAGTGCTGGTTACATAGGTGTGAGGACCTGGCTCACATCCCAGGTACCCACAAAAAGCCAGACACAGCAGCAGCTTGGACTGCATTTGGAGTGATGCTATGGCAAGATGAGAAACAGAAGGAAACAAGAGAATCCCCACAAGAGCCTGGCCTAGGAAGCTTTTCATGAGTAGTGGGAACAACCAACCTTTTGTCAGATCTACACCCAAACTTGTCTGCTGATCTCTAACCACATCCCATGGCAAGGAAAGATCCTTTCAAACATGAACATGAACAAATATACAAACATACAAAGACACATCACACACATGGATCTAAAACACAGACCTAAAAAAATAAGGCAGTATGACAAGAATTATGTTACTTTTCTTCATTGAATCATTGTTCTCTATTCCCTCTAAAATAATGATTTTATTGGGAATGTACAATTTTGAGATAGCTTACATTGTTTACATAGTGCAGGTACAGTGCATTCCCCCATCTCACACCTCAAAAAGACTAGTGGGTAAATATTTAATAAAGTAGACTGCAAGAAAAACTTGGATGGGGGTGGGGGTGAGCACCTTTTATCCCAGTACTTGGGAGGCAGAGACACGAGGATCTGGTCTACAGAATGAGCTTCAAGACAACCAAGAATAGATAGAGAAATCCTGTCTCCAAAAAACATGTATCTAGTAGGGTCTTTTAAGTCACATGTGTTGCTCTAGTAAATTTTCTACTGACACCAACTCCCTGTGGGTGAAACAGGAGCAGGTGCCCTTGGAGCAGGAGGGTACACTCTGCTGGCAAGATTTGCATATGGAGTCATTATATAACAGCCCAGTCTCCTTTAAGGTCAGCTGTCAGGAGCCTAAGAAGCATCCTCTCTTCCATCTCCCAGAGATAGAGACAGACACACTGTTCCTATTGGTGCTGGTGCTCTGGGTTCCAGGTGAGGATGCAGAGAAGTGTGAGAAACAACCTCTATGGCTATCATGGCTTTCCATGCCTCTGGGCTCTCTTGATCATTATAATTAGTGCATTTGTAATTGGTTTTAAGTTTCCCCATTCCCTTTGATTTGCTGGTTTCTCATAGTGATGTCAACAATATTCTTGAAATTTTTAAATGAAAATGTTCTCTACTGGGAAGATTTTTTATACATATATAACAATAGTCTCTGTGTTTATAATTCCAGGTTCCATTGGTGACATTGTGCTGACCCAGTCTCCAGCTTCTTTGCCTGTGTCTCTAGGGCAAAAAGTCACCATCTCCTGCAAAGCCAGCGAAAGTGTCAGTACATCTAGCTATAGTTATATGCACTGGTACCAACAGAAACCAGGACAGCCACCCAAACTCCTCATCTATGGTGCATCCAACCTAGCATCTGGGGTCCCTGCCAGGTTCAGTGGCAGTGGGTCCGGGACAGACTTCACCCTCGCCATTCATCCTGTGGAGGCTGATGATGCTGTATCCTATTACTGTCAGCAAAGTAAGAAGCTTCCTCCCACAGTGCTCCAGGGCTGAACAAAAACCTCCTGGGGTTGCAGCTCACTGAGGCTCAGTCTTTCAGTTCTCTCTTACTCTATGGTATCTCAAAACATAGCTCTAAGCATGTTTGGCAAATTTTCTCAAATAATGAAACACATTTTATAAACAGATATGTATGTGTGTCCTATCCTTCATGCTTTATAACTTATTTCCCAACAAAATATATGATTGTTTTAATTACTATTTATCATCTAAACTTGTATTAACACATATTTATCTTTGGATGACTTTTCCTTCTCTTCTAACTCCCTGACCACACTTCTGCCTATTCCCTCACCCTCAGCATCCTCCTTTAACTTTCCAGTCACTGAGGATTTATTGTCTCTCATTTTTTATTCTGAAAATAGAAAAGGATTATAAATTCAAATTATGTCAATGAAAATAGCGTTAACCAAAGACATTTATTGGTGTTTGCGTGTGAGTATGTGTGTGTGTGTGTGTGTGTGTGGTTTGTGTCTGTGTATGTCTGTGTGTCTGTGAGTGTCAAAGGACAACCTCCAGAAGTTAGTTCTTTCTTTCTTCCAGTTTCAGTCTGGGATTTAAACTCAGGTCATCAGTCTTCTGTGAGTATGCTTCCTGGAACAGGGTGAGCAACCATGCCAACTTGGAATACTATTTCTAACCCTTGAATCATTTATTTTCATTTTAAATTGTGTACCTGGGGGGAAGGATACAAGTGTCAGGATACAAGTGCTCATAGCAGTCAGAAGCATCAAATCCCAGGAAACTGAAGATACAGGAGATTTCGAGCTACTTGATGTTTTTCAGGGGCAGCCCTGCTTAGACACTGAAGGCCTAAAATCAGCCATAGGCCTAAAATCAGCAATAGGCCTGACATACATGCCTGCTAACACAAAGTCTTGGGTCTCTGTGGGAAAACACTGAAACAGATGACTAGAAGCTATTGTAAACAAGCAGCTTTGGTGGACAAATGCCAGGCTAGTCATAGACCTTGTAGATAGGTAACCATGGTGGGTAGTACCAACTTAGATAAGGAGAAGGAATCATAGGTGGAGTCATAGTTATCTGTCCCTTGAACCTTCACCCAGCTGACACTCTGTTCTGGAAGATATCTGTACTCCCCCTGAACACCTATGCTCCTGTGTCATCTTCTTCCCCACGTCCTGCCTTTTTGTGTATATAACCTGTGTGTGAAAAAGTAAAAATTTTGATTTGATCAGACTATAGACAGATCTCCATTTCTTTGCATCTTTCCCTCTCCCACCCTGCCCTGCTCTCTTTCAGGTGACCTCCTGGACCCCTGATGTTTAGGACAAATTCCTTGATGGTCAGGACAAATGTGGGTGCTGGAAAACAGACTGGGGTGCTCTGCAAGATCAGGAAGAGCTCTGAAATGCTACTTACTTATTCACCTCTGATCTAACATTTATTAAAATACTCCTTTAGATTTAGTAAACCCTTTTCCCTAGAACATTGAAAGGCTTGATGAAAGCATTGTTGTCCATCATTTAAGTTAAATAGTTCATTCAATAGCTAAGCTTGTCAGTTATTTTTTCAGATTCAGGTTTACATTCTCATCCCATTGTTTTTATTCTCCAGTTGCTTTTATTTGCTGGCCCTCACAAACAGCCTGCTATAGTTACATAGAATCATAGGCTCCGCTACAGTTATTTTTCTGCTTTGGTTCCAGTGTCTCTATGTCTGTCTCCATCCCCAAATTAAATTTTAGTATCCAATTTATTGATTGTCCTTTTGTCTTGATCCAATATTTTTATTTTATCAGCTTCAATGTTTGTGATCAATATCTTTCTGCCCTTTTTTTCTTTTCTTTCTTTCTTTCCTTTTTCTTTCCTTCTTTCCTTCTTCATCATTGTGTATGATGTATAAAATATGTTAGTGAAAGTAACATATAGTGCACATGTAGAACAAAGGACAACACTTGGTGTTGGTCTTCAAATCCCACCTTGTTTTGAGATAGGGTGTAATCAGGGAACTTTCCAGACATGGGATTCGGGGAAGAGAAGACTTAATAGATACCTTCTCTTTGCAGACAGACAATGAGCCCACATAAACTTGGACTTGTCTAAAGCATTGAGACACTATTACTCTTTGGATCTACATCCCTAAGAGAGATGCTTTTTTCCTGTACTATGGTTTGATGTGCTTATAACCTGGAAAACAGAGACAATGGCTTCCTAAGAGAAGTACTGATTATAATATTACCATCCAGCTAGAACTATCCAGCCATGAGGCTAGAAAATGATCTGAGGTCCCCTATATGTAAATATGTTTTGCTTTTCTGGAAGTGTTAAATCTCTGTAGACAGACATTGTTACATGGAACCTAACCTTCTAGCCTCCTCCAGTACTACATCTGTGGTGATCAATACCTCTCTGAGAGAAGATCATGGAAGATCCACTGTTTGCTCTCTCCAAGTCATCCTGCCCACTATCTCCAGGTTCATTCTGAGGGTCACCTCCTCTAATCAACCACCGCCAAGTGGTCTCCAACTCCTTTCTTTCCTATTAAGGAAAATTGCAAGTAAACTTTTCCTCTCCAGAATACAAATCCCCTTTCCTTCAAAACTTAAATAAAATTAAATCTGACTTTAGAGATTTTTAGTTGACCCTGACCAATATACTGAAGCTTTCCGAAATGTCACCCTGTTAATGGATATAAGCTACAAGAAAGATAATGTTAGTGTTATGTCAGACAAATATAAGTTCAGGATGCTTACAGCTAATCATTGAACTGATCACAGGGTTCCCAATGGAGTAGTTAGAGAGAAGACTGAAGGAGCTGGGGCACCAATAGGGAGAGTGAAAATACCAACCAATACAGTGAGTATGGGGAAGGAAGACATGAGTGTGTTCCATTTCTAACTACCTTAATGAAATCAGATTTTAACAGGGGTCCCAGTAGATGAAACCTTTCCTTTTCACAACCACAATGGTTGCTTTTGGACTCTGTAGAGAGTCTCCAAATATTTAAGAATTTATATTGGTCATATTCAGCTAGAATGTCAGACTGGCTGGCGGTTAGGCAGTATAGGAGGGGTTTCCAATAGAGGATCTCAAAGGGTGTAAAATCCAAGGTATAAGGGATATTCATGGCCTTATACAAAGAATAAGGTAGGAGACATATCTCGTCATCACCAGTTTCAAGGTTTAAATTTTGTCTAGACCTCCTTCAGAGCCCAATTCATCCTCTCTACCTACCCTGAACTCTGGGGTCTGCATATACAATGTAATTCTCCAATGACCCCCAGAACCTGTGCTAATGATGGAGTAAACTGAGAAATAAAGGCTGGTTCATTGTCAGACCCAAGCAGGGTAGGTAAACCATATTGGGTATAAAGTCTTCTAGAAGATTGGCAGTTTTATTCTTTGTATGTTAGGCAACTACCCATTCTAAAAAGATATCTATAAAAACTAGTGGATATTTGTATCCATATGTGCAGGCTTTTACCTCTGTGTAGTTTGTTGCCAAGTAGCTCCTGGCCATTGGCCTCTGATACTGGTTCCTCTAGTTTCTTTTTTTAAATTGTTGGAGTAGGTGTGTCACTGTGGGCATGGGCTTAAAACCTTCATCCTAGCAGCCTGGAAGTTCATCTTCCACTAGCAGCCTTCAGATGAAGATGTAGAACTCTAAAGACATTCATAGGAGAAATATATCGCTACACACTGCAGAGGGCTGCACAATTTTACCTATGGAGTTTGATAAACAATCCATTCATCAGATTCATCAAGCTTCACACCTGAGTTGTTGAAAACTAAAGCAACTCTTCTGAGATGCCAGATACAAAATATTTAACATGCATCATTCCTCCCAAGATGTTGCCAAGCTCCCACCTTGATGATAATAGACTGAACCTCTGAACCTGTAAGCTAGTCTCAATTAAATGTTGTCCTTTATAAGACTTGCTTTGGTCATGGAGTCTGTGAAACCCTAAGACCAAAGTTGGTACAAGGGACTAGGGTGTTGCTGTGATATGCCTAACCATGCTTTTGTTTGAAAGAATGTGGATTTGGGGACTTTGGATTTGGTAAGCTTTGGAATGCTTTAAATGGGACATAATGGACTACCCTAGTAGGAAAAAGGAAGACTTTGTTGCTTGGAGTAATTTGAACTGTGCAGAGCAAGGCCAAGGGGTGTCTGAGAAGAATTTCAGTATGTGACATAGAGACTGTTTTTATGGTCTTTTGGTGAAGAATGTTGTGGGGAAAAAATGCTGGTGGAGTGTGGGGAAAATTTAAAAAGGCCACCACAGCGGCGCAAGCCCTGGAGGGGCTTCCTCCGCCATGGCGGGTCCCACATTAGGGAGGGAAGTCCCATGGTTCCAGCAACCTGAGGGCCTTAGCGGCGGCAGGCCCCAGTAACACGAGGAAGTCCTTGGTTCCAAAAAGGTTTATTGTCATGGCGGATAATAGATGGATCTAGGCATACCCCCCCCAAACTCAGGGCAGTCCCGAGTTATATAGGGAGGGAGAAAGGGGAAGGATCTGAGGGAGGAATGTTTAATTTGCTCTGCCCTCTGGCCTTCATTAGTATGTAAATCCCTAGGACCTGAGGCCTATAACCTGGCCTATGTGACTCTATGGAGATCTATGTGACTGCTTTTCAGGATCCTGGATGATGGGAGGGACCGAACTCCTGCCAGTTCTCATGCAGAATTCCACGGAGAATCTCGGGGTTCTAGGTACCTGCTCAACCATGACCCAGGATACCCTTACACAGTCCCACAGTGGAGGATTCCCAGAGGCTTTCCACGTGGCTGGTCCCACATACAGGAAGAAGTCTAAGGTTCCCGAGGCTGGAGGCATTGGCAACGGCAGGCCCCAATGACACAAGAAAGTCCTTGGTTCCAAAAGAGTTTATTGTCATGGCAGATGATGGATGGTTCTGAATGTACCCCCATGAAACTCAGGGCTTTCCTGAGTTAAATAGGGAGGGAGAAAGTGAGAGGGCCTGGGGAGGAATGCTTAATTTGCTCTGCCCTCTTGACTTTGTAAGTA